AGGCAGAATACCGGTATGACCCAAGGATTATTTATACAGGTATTTGCAGAAAAGCTCATTATAACGAACATAAAATTTACCATATGCTGACTATAAACTAGGTCGTTGTTCAGCTCTGTAACGTCAACCTATTTATCAACAACCTGCCTATGGTAAAAAATTGATCGTACTCCGATCATTCTCTTTCATACCGAATCGGTTGGGAGACCTGAACACCATATGCAGATGACAGTGGAATGTAACTACATAGACAGGGTTAGTTGGCGATGTAAAAGCTGAGCTCTTTCCGTTTGACATAGTTTACATGATAGTTTGCCATTCACTTTTTAGTCTATAAAACTTCAAATTACGAAAGTTCACCGAGATACATCGAGTCGATATATATATATATATATATATATATATATATATATATATATATATATATATATATATATATATATATATATATATATATTAGGGATGTCAAATCGGTCAATATTTGATAATCGGTTACTCGGACGATTTTCCGATCGAGTACCCGGGTACTCGAAAAAATTGTAAAATACAAATGTGTTAATTTTGATTTTAATTGATTTTTTGTACTAAATTGATTTATCAAATAAACACAAAAGACAACAATTAATACATCAATAATTAGAAATGGTATATACTTCTTGTTGAGGAAAACGATTTGATCAACGCAAGAGGAAGACAATTTGTAACGCAGCTTTGCAATGATTAGATAAGCGCAAGAAATTGTTTTTAAAGAAAGAGACGGTGTCGAGATCGCTAGACGTATATTATTTAATTAATACATGTATGTTGAATGTTTCCCAATATACGCTATGTTTACTTTGAGTTAATAATTTTAAACATTTTTAAAACCTTTAGTTCTTTCCTAATGTTTTTTTTTTCACTTTTTAAAGTGGTAGCGGCATTTCTTTTCAAGTCCGAATTCGCTACTGTATGCGAACTAAATTATTTTAGGATAATAAACCCTAATTAAACGATGTTCATTAAATACTAATCATTAAAGCCATCCAAAAAATAATGGGCCACAAGAGGTGTGCATCAGGAGATTGGTCGCGGTAATTACTGTATAAACAAGTACACAGCCACAGACAATAATGGGTTATTAACAGGTGTGGGTGACACTAATTACAAGGTAAACATGAACAATTCATTTTGAAGTTGCATTTTTTGATAAGTTTTTGATATAAAAAAAAAACAAAAACAAAAAACTTTGTTCTTTAAAATAATAAAAAAAATACATCCGAGTAACCGATTAGCGATTTTAGTATTCGATACTCGGACGTACCATCGAGTACCCGGTCAACCGGGTACTCGTTGACATCCCTAATATATATATATATATATATATATATATATATATATATATATATATATATATATATATATATATATATATATATATATATCTGTTATTTTCCCTAAAGTTGTAGCAATTAAAAAGAAAAAAAATTAAGCAACAGAAAACGATCTTAAATTTTTCCAGATACAACGGTATATACAGCACAATGTAGAACAATATTTAGAAACTGCATATCGACTTCCAATTTGCCATTAAATGAAGTGCAAATAAGTCACATATCAAGTCAAGTTTTCTGTTTTTCAAATAGGGAATCCCAATTGTTCTGAAAAATTGCCTCCTTGAAACAGAATGAATTTGATATACGCATAAAGAGACAGGATTCTTCTTCAAAACTGCCATTTCCGATTTTTGTTTCAAAGAGGCATATTTTGAAAATCACAAAAATCGAATAAAAATTATTATCCATCCGAAATGCAAAATGTGCACCTAAAATACCACTTGGTACTTCACTGTCGCAGTGTAGTGGTAAAGCGTGTAAACTCTATGCAAAGATTCTTTTACCTGAGAATGGGTTCGATTCCTGGAATGGCTGATATATATATATATATATATATATATATATATATATATATATATATATATATATATATATATATATATATATATATATATATATATATATATATATATTCTTATAAAATGGAAATACAATGTAACATCTCTCTTGAGAAAGATTTAATTTTGTTAAAATTATGGTCCACCGTGGTAAGGGTGGGGCCATAATAGGGATAGGGGGTCAAAAAATTACAAAAGAGTATTATAGGAAAAAATCATGTAATGAACAACAGGGCCATGGTTAATCAAATTATTATGTAAGCATCCTCAGGTTCTGTAGATCAATTTTGTTCACATTATGGTCTCCCATATCAGGGGATCAAAGTTTAACAGGAATACTAATGAATGTTTAGGAAAAAAAAAAATTCTCATTAAGTTCGGAAGGACCATACATGTAATTAGTCATATTACATGTACTATGCAAGCATCTTCAGGTAGTGTAGATAGAAGTTTGTACAAATCTTGAGCGCTGAGAATAGGGCGTGGCCAAAAGAGTGCCTAAGTTTTACATAGGAATACCGGTATATAAATCGATAAAAAAAACTTTTCTAATGTAGCAGGAACTCAATAAATCATATTAATATGATACATTCTAAAATTGTGTGGATTCATTTTTTTTTAACCCTAAGGCCAAATTTGAGCTAAAATCAAATTAAATTTTCATTACCTATATGCAGTAAAGGTTTTTCATTTGAATGAAGAAAAAATTATCAACAACTGGGTCACCTTTAATAAGGTGAGCGTCGTGGCCCATGCGCTCTTGTTTATTTTCCTATCTTCAAAAAAGCCAGATTGTATCAAGAGGAAAGAAAATACATATTCCGGACAAATGATATCAGACAAACGGATTGATAGAGTGATCACATCTGGGCACATTCAGAGTGGGGCCCTCATTAACAAATCATACCACAGACATATTACAAAATCCAAATATGCAATGATACTTTATGAAAACATACGTGAACAAAATTTACACACGTCACATACAAATCTATACAGAATCGGTTAATTACGATTCCGTTCCCCGTAAAAAGACACAGGAAACTTTGTCTTCAAAACACTCGTTCTGAAAAATTTGTTTTATCTGTGGTAATTCCAAGTGAACCCACATCCAAAATTGGATTAGGGATTTTAAGAATAAACATTTAGTTTCAAATAAACGTAAAATTAAACAGTAAGTGGGGTATATATATAAAGATTCCAGATACAGTTTCTATTTAATGAAGCTATGCATTACCTAATTTCGATCAAATTGTTTTGGTGCTTTATGCATTATGTAAAATTGGTACTGTAAATGTTCAAAATGATTTTTTGCAATTAATGTTCATCAATGTTATTTTTGACAAAGAAATAATTGTCATGATAATAATACTTATCAATAATATCAAAGTACATGAATATCTAAACGCATCAAAGTTATAAACTTTGAAAATAAAACTGAAAAAATAAGCAAACTAATTAACAATCCCTCCAAAACAAGTTCTAACAATGATTTTCATATCTGAAGAAAATAAAAATAATGACAGTAACTAAGTATATCATGCAATGATTTCCTTATCACGCAATTTATTTAGGAGTTGCAAAAAAGATTTCAACAATGTTAACATACGTCGACTTTATTATTTTGTTTTCATTGTTAAAATTTGATTTCTGCACTTTTGTAAAGAAAATTTGACCTTGGTTGTATGTTTTGCAGAATAAGCGCATTGAAATTGTGCATTGCAGTGCCATCAGCAATTCTGGTTTGCAGAATAAGCGCAGTCAAATTGTTCATCAGATTACCATCGGCAATTTAGCTCTGCGAAATAAGGGCAATCAAATTAATCATTGTGATGTCATCGACAATTTCATTTTGCCAAATACTAGGAAGTGCAGTAAAATTATTCATTGCAATGTATCAGCAATTTTGCTTTGCAGAATAATCATAAATTTTTCATTGCAATTTCATCTTGCAGAATTAGTGCAGTCAGACTGTACTTTACTATGCCATTGCCAATTTAACTTTTTTAGAATTCTGTTTTTATCAGTGCAGTAAAACTGTTCATTGCAATGACATTGGCAATTTGGCTTCGCAGAATAAGTGCAGTCAAATTGTTCATTGCAATGTCATAAACTATTTCAAGATGCAGAATGAGTGGTCAAATGGATCATTTCAATGTCATTGCCAATTTCACTTTGAAAAATTGTATTTTAGACAAACAATTAGTGTAAGTTAACCTTAACGCACCAAAATTATTAACTTTGAAAATAAAATAAGAAAAACATCCCTCAAAAAATGTTCTTTCATTGATTTTCGTATCTTAAGAATATAATGGCATTTACTTTGTTAATTATGCAATGATATCCTCATCATGCAAATGGGAGTTGCAATAAAAGATTTCTAACTCACGTTGTCTTTGATACTTTGCTTTAATTGTTGGATCTTGAGCTCTGTACTTTCTTAAAGAAAGGTTGACCTAGTATGTCTGTTTTGCAGAATAAGTGCAGTCAAATTAATCATTGCAGTACAAACAGCTATTTCACTATGCAGAATAAGTACAGTCAAAAGGTTCATTGAAACGCCATTACCAAATTAACTTTGCAGAATAAACGCTGTCTAACTGTTCGTTGCAGTGCCATCGGCAATTTGGCTTTGCAGCATAAGTGCAGTTAAATTGTCCACTGCAACATCATCGGCAATTTGACTTTGCAGAATAAGTTCAATCAATTTTTTCATTGCAATGTCATTGGCTCATTTCACTTTGCAGAATATTAGTAAGTGCAGTCAAATTGTCCATTGCAATGTCATTGGTCATTTCACTTTGCAGAATAAGCGCAGTTAAATTGTTCATATTGCAATGCCATTGCCAATTTTACTTTAAGAATCAGCACAGTCAAGCTGCACATTGCAATGCCATCGGCCATTTCACTTGACGTCATCTGCAATTCAGCAAATTGAATTTTCCTTCTTTCAAACTTTTGAGTCTCTTGATATTCTTAATCTTTTCATACTATGTCTGATCCTACTAAAACATTCGGAAAACTATTTATTCATTAATAAATTGATTTATTTATATTTCAGTATATAGTTACAAAAGAGTTTCGTAAAGAGATGAAAATTATATATCAAATATGTATAAAAAAAAAAAAAAAAATCCAACATAAACAAAATGGACGGAAACCATCATAAATCACATCAATTTATGACCATGATAACTAGTTGTGTGTAAAAGAGTAACCGAATTTACATAAGCTCATCTGAAAGAGTATTGCATGTCATCACATTACTAATGAAATACCTGAAGTTCTTCATTTTTATACGAAAAAAAAAATGATCACATATTGATTTGACAACGAAAACAGTAAGACGTATTGCAAAAAGATAACATTGCACGGGGTCTTTTCTTAAGGAAAAATAGTGGCATTCCCCTTTTATCACAGATATTCTTAATACAATAACTCTAGGCAAACAATACCTTATTAATATAACAGAATATGATTATATAAAGTCATTACTGAAACAGATCGATAGAGATGTTTGAATTTCACTCTAGAAACTTGGATGATATCACTGTAGGACACAAGCAGAACTTTCTGTTTTGTTGTTTTCAGCAGAACTTGGGCGCTTTCCATTCGACGTTGGTGCTTTTTTGTTTGCCTGATTAAACAAAACATAAAATCAAATTAAAATTCAACATTTCATTTGGACTAACTGAAAATCACACGAAATAGTCATTTGTCTACATTTGTACGTGTGCACACTATTTAAAATGAATTCAAATATAGATGCAAAAACGTATTGCAATATATCTACTAAAAGAAAAACAAAACAAAAGGAAATTAAAAAAAAAAAAAGAAAGAGTCTATTTCATATAATTTTTACCTAGAATCTATAAAATTATAAAATACATGTTCATAAAATAAAATTATTGAACTGAATTATTGTGACTATATTTGAATTAACGTCATTGTTATGTGCTGATAATACGTTGTAACCAAAATTGCATGCATGCATTTCCGAGTTACATAATTGGTTACATTTGATTACATCTATTATCATGCTATAGTGAAGTTGCCATGCCAACAGTAGATGCCAAACTGACAAGCAAGATGTCCGCGCATCGGTTACAACGACACAAAGAATATACGTTTTTTTTCAACGAAGCCTTTCTGGCTCTTCTCACTTCAAGAAGTTCGGGTAATTTCTGATCTTTTCTCCTGTTTTGTTGTTGTGTGGATCACTATTTAGGATTCGTCGTAAGAATACGAATTTTGTTAATCCCACGCCTGAGAAACCAGAGGAATGGAATTTTGAAATGTTTTAATTTTCAGAAAACTGAACAACATATGAAGTTACCTTTGACGGATTTCGATATTGAACTTCTTCAAATCAAACTAAGAATTAAACAATTATAAGTGAACACAAAAATAAAAAATCAAAACTAAAACGTTTACTAACCAATGGCTACCACAAACAAAAATTAGGAAAAAGTGCTTTAAATTTTAATATTTTCAACGTAACTGGAGTATTTATCTCAATGGAAAGCATTTACCCCTTTGATGTCTAGATTTATTTTGTTGTAAAATAAAAACAAAATAAGCTAGGGAAACAAGCAAAACTCTGAGGGGGCAGGAATATCGACTCACTGAATACTCGCTTATTGCATTTCGCGCCGGTTTAATAACCTCTCTCTTGGAGTTTATATCAGAGAGAAGAGTTGTCCTTTTGCCGTTTTGTGTAAACCCTTTACTGCGGTTGAGAGAGTCCTCAGTGCCTGGGTTCATATAGGGTGCCAAGTCTACAGAGCCAAATGAATCTTGGTCTCCCTGACTTTCCTCTTTTTCTTCTATCACAGACTGTAGAAAAAGTACAAACATAGCAGCCTCGATTTGGTTTGAAAAAAAGAGCCATCGTTAATTATTTTTAAAATATCAATTGAATCAGCTTTATTATTATGAATCATTTTCTCTTGGGGAAAAAGAATTCAGGGATGTATTGCCGACATTACTTCCACATTCCCAAACAACATTTTGGTGAATCTACAGTGTCAGTTTATCATTAAAATCTAAAGAAGACTTAATTACACTCAAAAGCGACATGAAAAGGGAGTAAGAAAATGACTGAAAAAAGGAAATACAACATTTGCGGACAACGAAAATCTAGAAACTCATGCAAATAATCTTGTAACAATTTTTACCTAACATTTTAACTTAAGGATTACGAGTACAACGAAAAGAGGGTTGTGAACCATATACAAGCTTTAAAACGCATTCTCTGTGTGCGTCATTCCGGAAGTGACGCCGAATCTTACATCAGTTTTGGATTTGGTTAGTTGTAGATCCGGGTAATGATGCTTGGATACTTTATGGTAGTCAACAACGCCGTTATTTAAGCTGGCCTCCTGTGCCAATTCGTGTTCATTTTCATCAAAGACAAATAAACTTATCGTATCCCCGTCCCCGACATGTTTACCATCCTGGAAAAAGCAGACGACACAATCAGAGAGACCCAAAGTTTCCTCATCCATCTAGTACTATAATGGCCAGGACTAATAACGTGAATCTTTCTAAATACACCCTTGATCCACGTTTCCATGGCCCTGTTCCCAGTTCAGGTATGCTAAAAACAGTTACAGAAATAGGAAAAAGAATGGATGACAGTTTCTGGGACGACAGGATGAAGAATTAAAACATACTAATTGCCTGGGAAGCCCAACTACACTTTACATAACCCACTTACCTGGAAATGCATGCATTATAGTTATAAACTAGAATAATGTTACTGAACATGCTAGTAAATAGTCAGGTGAAAACAATAGAAAGCTGAAACCCAACACAGAAATACTCTAAGCTTAAACTTGCATATATTTTTCTAAACCGTTAAATTTCCAATTAAACTCATCATTTCGATTATATATATATATATATATATATATATATATATATATATATATATATATATATATATATATATATTGTTTTTTGGTTGTTTTTTTTTTTTTTTTTTTGACAAGTTATGCTAAGAGTGTCCTTTTTCAACAGCAATTCTAGGGTCTGTGTTGAATTTTAGCTTAGAAAATAGTTAAGATATTTGAAATATAGGAATTGGTAACGTCATTGGTGAGCTTACGCTTTTCTCCATGGCCATTTGCCTCACGTACTTTTGCCCTTGCAAAACCTGTTTGAATATTTACATTTGATAAAAATTAACAAATTCTAATGAAAAGCTCCCAAAAGCTAAGGCCCCAAGACGTATTGCACTGCTGTTGATGAAGTTGTGAATGATTCTGTCATATGGACCTGAATGAAGTGCAAATTTGTTATCTTTTTTTTTAAATTTCTAATCATGATCTGATATAAGAAAAGAGTCTCCTCTAATGCAAACAGCTTGAAAGCACTGTCTGTTCAAGCATTAGTCAAGCATCAAAAAATGCATTTATTTTAAAAAAAAATTTTGAACTAGAAAGATTATGATCAAGAAAAAGCATGTACCGATATATGATATTTTTAGATCATGAAAAATCATGTGATGAATATTACTTAAATTCATGAAGACTTTCTTATACATGTGTACGTTAGTTTAAAGCAAAATCCAGCACCATACACATCTATTCAGGCAGATTGTCAAAGACAATGCTTTATAAAAACTCTAAACCTTTGACAGCATGCTAGGGTCCATTGTTTTTTGTCTTTGCAACTCAGGTGCCTCTTTTTGTAAATGTAACATCTGTATCAAAACATTAATTAATGGTTCATTACAAAAAATTACATGATGTTCAAAGCTTAGAAACAGCATTACAACTTTTTTCCCCTTAAAATTCTATTTTGTAAAGAGAAAGATATCCATGTTCAGATTAATACATGTGTAATACAAAAACAGTGTTCCTTTAAGAAATAAAGTATCTGAGTAGAATAAGTGATTTTAGTTGTTATTTTTCTTGTACTTTCAGTCTCAATCTCCTCAACATTCTTACATACATGTATATATTGTCATAGCTTGAAATTACAGTAGAAGCAGTTCTTGTGCAAGAAATGTAAGCAGAAGTAATAAAAGATATTTTAATTTCATCATATGGACCTTAAATTATATATGCCTCTTCAGGAATAGTCCTGACCAATTCAAGAGTGGGATTTTAAGTTTCAACATGGGCAAAATCCCATAAAATAATGTAGGATTTAAATGGTTAACACAAAGAAAATCTAACAGTGAAATCTCAACTCTCAAATTATAGATTAACTTGACAGAAGCAATTTAAATTTGATACAGAAGTACATGATAACTTTTTAGACATTACATAAACTTTCACATAATAATCTTTAACCAAAAGAAAGCCACATCTTACATGTCACTTATTATTCAATTCCATTCAATGCTACATATTTTTATGAGTACCATGCAATGAAAGCATATCAGTTATTTCAAAAAATAATAAGCTCTTTCTCATTAATCCTCTCTCCTGATCAATTGTCATTGTTAATCATGCAAAGAAGTCAAGTAGACAGAAACTTCAGCTCAAGTTAGATTTAGATACAAGTTGTTTTTTTAAAGAAATACACTGTAAGCTATTTGTTATGAGGCAGTGCTCAAATAGTCTTACTGGGGAAGATTTATCTTTGTAACTTGGCAGTGCAACAGTTTTTTGCAACTTTAGCATCTGGAAGGAAATTCAAGATTTGTTAATGAAAGAGATTTTCATAACAAAAGGTAAATTCACAGCAGTTCAGTATTACTAAAGCTTTTACATTTCAGCAGGGTTCTTGGACAGTTTTTTTTTGTTAGACCAAAACCGAAAGCCACTGCCAATAGACTCAGGTTTGAGGGTCTGACAAATTTGAGATGCCTGAGAACCCTGTCTACAAATGTTTGTCATACCTTTTTAATTACTATACAAGTATACACTGTATATGCAGTTCTTACTTTACATATAACCATTTTTCACAATGTGGAATATTTACTTGTCAAACAATCTTTATAAAATTTACCAATGAAGAGCTATATGAATAGCAGATATTGCCCAAAGTATGGGTCATTGAGGGTTGGAGCTATGAAATAAGTTGTCTGTGTTCTTGATGTAAAGTCTCCAACATTTAATTAAATCAAATTAGATTACTTGTGTGTTGAAATTTAAAATTATGTTTTTACTGTTTAATTAGAATTATATTGTATGTAATGGACAAAGGTATAACAAATTCTCTTTGGTGAACTGGAAAAGACTGATTAATAGAAACTCAAAGCATACAAAACTTCATCCTTCATTTTATAAGAGAAAAAATACAATTCATTTGATGAATAGTTTCATAAATGATTGCCAAAAGTGGCTTAAGTAGGATAAAAACTTTTCAATTTTCATTGCTACTGATAGTTTATTTAAACATTACTTTTTAAAGATATCTTCATAAATATTTAATTAACCTCTTAATTACCAACCTGATTAAGCATCTGAACTCTTGTCTTGAGTCTGGTTCCCGTGCTATTGGCAGCTGCTGAAACCGCTCGGTAGAATGGCTCAAACTGCTTCTCTTCAGCAGGTTTCTTAGACCATTCTTCACATATTTGCTTTAAGAAAAAAGTGTATGGGAGTAGAAGAGATGCATTGTCCAGATTTGTACATTTTGGGGTCAAAAAAATAATATCTAGACACAGTATTGAAGATTCCGTGGTCACCTTATTAATGAATTCTTTAGATACAAACCATGAACGCTAAAATTATTGCCATAGATATTACAACACCTACAATGCAACCACTAACCCTAAAAAATCATTACAAGTACCACTGTGCAACAGCAACACTGGATGAATATAACCTACCTGCATTCGGCGTTCTTTCTGCTGCAGTCTTTCGTACTTCCTTTGTAACAGTACCACCTCTGTCTTGAGATGAGAGGTGTCAGAAGCTATCTCGTTACCAAACATTGTACCTCGTCTACCGCTGGCGTGAGCCTGGGAATTCTCCATGTTCTCCATCTGTCTCAACTCCTACATCATAGAAAGATATTACGCATTACTTTTGAGATGATAAATAACAAACTTTAAGGATTATTTTCCAATTTTGTTTTTCTTTCAGAAATATTTTTTTAAGTACAATATCTACCAAAAAAAAGTGAGATTCGGCCCTGAAATAAAGGTTGTGAACAACATGATGTGACAGTAAAGTAAATAATATTTCAAGCTTCTGAAAAACAAACTACTCTTCTAACCTGGTTTAATAGAGCTAAAGACTACAAATGTATCATGCTACATGTACAATTGTGTCATTCACAACAAATAATATTCAAGACATGCAAACCAAAAATAAAATGAATCTTCATGTACATGCATTTGTCTGCTAACTGGAGTACACAAATTTCTAAATTATCATGGCATTAATTTCCGAGTTCTTACAAGAATAACAAAGCAGTCTCAATAGCATGCATGGTACATTTATCTGCAATCAACTTATAAAAGTAACAAATTAAACATGGTCTAACAGCAACATAAAAAGTGAAGAAAGCATCAAATTTCTCCTATTTTTCTCTGTGTTTTAATGTCATATACTGGTGACTGGCCTACATACATACATGCCTGTATCTATAATGATCTGATACCTGATTTATGGTAACATCTCTTAACTCCTGTCATATATCAAAAATTTCATATTCAAAAATTTTTCATCTATAACCAACTTTGCACATTCAAATAAAAAAACTGGTAATGTAATATATGATTTCCGTTAATAATCAAATATTGGAAAATGCATTATTTATCATATATTTTATCATTGATATATTTTTTTTTTCAAGTTGTCTTGCTTGACTTCTAAAATTTTTAATTTTCTCAATATGCCAACTTTTAAAAATTTCATTCAAGAGCAAATAACAATGAACTTTGATGTAATTTTGTGAATGAGCTATTGATAAACTGTGCTGTGTGTATACCTGATACAACGAGGCTTCTCTTAATTCCTGGTTTTCAAGCAAAGAAATACAAGAAAATTTTAAACATCTAACAAATTAAGTATATCAATTTTTCAATACATGTACATTGCTAGACACCAAACTAACAAATATGACTGGATAAAATTAAAATTTAGGGATGGTAAATAACAAATACATATAACATTATTTTAAGCATTGATCATGTCTACTTGTTAAAAAAATGAACTGGGAGTACAATGCACTGCATTATGATCATGCTTGCTGCATATCCAACATCGATTTTGAAGAGGGATACTTTGGAGTACTGTGAAATCACTAATTTTTGTGGGGTTTTGATTATCAGCGTTTTCGTGGTAACGAAGAGATACACAAATTCATATCCTCCCCAAAACGTTAAAATGTTGTACAAAAGAACAGTGGTTCTCCTTTAACCACGAATTCAAATCCCCTCGAACCAGTAATTTTTCCTTAAACCACGAAAATTTGACCCCTCGAAAATAAGTGATTTTACAGTACAGCTTGAAAACAGTATACCCAGTAATTTCTCTTTGTACAGATTACACCTAGTAATTGCAAAAGCCCTAAACATCTTCTCCACCTATTACAGGAATCATATTCTGTTGCTACTTATATGCTACTTTCAATTAATTCTTTGCATTCTAATATCAATATTTCAAAAACAAAAGATCAACTTCCTTGATAATTTACTACATAGCCCATTGATATTGACATCACAGTTTTGGCTCCTATTGAATAGCTTTTTCCTTTAAATAGCCATTGGATATGCAGTCTAATGGAACAGTCACGTTTACAACATTTGGATTTCATTTCTCATGAAATATTCCTGGATTGTTAGTAATACAAATATTAGGTTCAGGAAAAACATTTAGAGAGAAAAAAAATCTATTTACATCACTACATATGACATACAAACTTTTATGAACCTGTTCTATGATTAAACTGTTACAACTAACAAACAGAATCCCCTAATTCTATGAAAATAATAAAAGTCTATATCCATATTCATAACATGTCTATTATACAATCAGATAAAGTTATTAATGTATAGTAACCATTTCAAAAAGCTATCCATACTAGTGAATACTTTCACCATCCATAAAATCATTCATTAGCTTTATTTTGCAATAACCCCCCCCCCCCCTTTCCTGAAAAAATATACCTCTATTTTTAAAATAATGATCTGTGGCAACCACTATTGAAATAACGACCACTATTGAAATAATTATTTCAATAGTGGTTGAGAATGCATTTCAAAACCAAACACAGCTTGTAACCACTTTTGAAATAACGGCCACTTTTGAAATAATTATTTCAATAGTGGTTGAGAGTGCATTTCAAAACAAAACATAGGTTGCAACCACTATTGAAATAACGTTCACTATTGAAATAATTATTTCAATAGTGATTGAGAGTGCATTTCAAAACCCAACATAGGTTGCAACCACTATTGAAATAACGTTCACTATTGAAATAATTATTTCAATAGTGGTTGAAAGTGCATTTCAGAAGCAAACATGGGTTGCAACCACTAATGAAATAATGTTCACTATTGAAATAAAGATTTCAATAGTGATTGAAATAATGATTTCAAAAGTGATTGGAATCATGATTTCAATAGTGATTGGAATCATTATTTCAATAGTTGCTGACAATGATTTCAATATAAAAACCAAATTGCAAGCCTCATTGAAATAACCCCAATATTGGAAAAAATGTAAGGAGAAATTCTTCATTATGTTTTCCAACATAATAAAATTAATTAATTGAGTTTAAATATGATATGTAATTTTTTGTTTTAATTTCTGTCCAGAAATACTATTAATACACGGATATCTGTGATTTAACTGATCTAGTAATTTTAAGTAATTTTCTTATATAATTTTCATCTTTGTTATTAATTGGGGAAAGTAAAAGATTATAAATACGGATAGGTGTAGAAATTAGAATATCTACATTAAAAAGAAGAAAGAAGACATCTATTGATATCTAATATGTGTACAAACTTTCTGATGAAAAAAAAAGATTAATTTTAATCAAAAGGATATAGAATAAAAGTAAATTTTCGCTTATATTCTTGGGCTTGCCCACTCTACTAATATGGATAGTAAATCAAACGTTTCTTGTCAATACATTAAAATCAACTATTTGGGAAAACTAAGTATAAGTGTTATAACATCAGAGGTCGTTATTTCAATAGTGGTTACACGTATAAAAACCGCTATTGAAATAATTATTTCAGTAGTGACCGTTATTTCAATAGTGATGACAAATTGGTTTAGGCTTTGAAATGCTCTCTTAACAACTATTGAAATAATTGTTTCAATAGTGAACGTTATTTCAATAGTGGTTACAAGCTGTGTTTGGTTTTGAAATGCACTCTCAACCACTATTGAAATAATTATTTCAATAGTGAACATTATTTCAATAGTGGTTACAAGCTGTGTTTGGTTTTGAAATGCATTCTCAACCACTATTGAAATAATTATTTCAATAGTGGTCGTTATTTCAATAGTGGTTCCAACAATGATCTTATCTAAATACCCCCACCCCCAATCTTTGGGAAAAAAACATTTATATACTCTTGTCCCCTAGTAATTAAATGATAGGCTTACCCTAGTATTAAGTTTCAGGAGTTTGGGATCTGGCAATGTGTCTTCCTGTATCCCATACACAGACAGTGTTATGCAACCCGACTCAAAGAAATCCAGGTTTTCCTGCTTCAGTTTAGGAATGGAGATGACCTTGGAGTGGTTGAAGGTTGGGGTCAGGGTGTTCTTCACAGTTGGGGTTTTAACCTCTTCAACTTTTCCGTTGTTCTTCACAGAATATTTAACCAAGATTCCTTTGGAGAATCTGGATTTGTGTATGTTTGCATTCTCAATGGTAAGCTGTGAAACAAAAATAGAATCTAAACATTTGTCATTTCATTTGTCATTTTTCTTGTGAATTTAAGTCTGAAGTCATTTCTTTTCATTTCTGTACTTTAACCAAGAAATAAATACAATTAGACAACAATATGAAATACTGTAAACCAACTTTTATCTGCGTGCGAGAAAAATACACGAGTTTTGCGACCTACTTTAACTCGCGAATATTAATCGCCGGGAACCATTTACCCTTGCTAATTTGTATTTGTAAGGAAGGTTTCCTCGGTCGTGAAAATTAATTGTCGTGGATTGATTTCAAATTGATGATTCGCGAATGAAAGTTAACGCAAATAATAGTTGGTTTACAGTAAACAGTGCCCATTAAAAAAAACAGTTACAGCATTTGTCATCTAATTCAAGAATTATCTTTTTTCAATCATACATCTGATAGAGAAAAAAATCACAAGATGCTTTTAAACTTTACATAATTATGTGAAAACAACTTGCTGTTCAAATACCATACCTTGAAATTGTAAGGTTTGTTAAGTAGCTCACGAGGATCATCCACAAATGCCTCCTCATCAATAGGTTTCCCCTTGGGGTCACAGGGCTCCAGTTTGACCTTGACATGCCCTTCCTCCTGACCTTTGTAATCTGAGATGTTGAGAGTATCCTCAAAGTCCAGACAATAGGACAGAGACTGAAGGAAGAGATTGGAGGTCCCTATCAGAACATCTTCTGTGGGTTCCCAGAAAGGGTCTTGTTCTTTAGGAATGTGTGACACATCTTCTCCATCTAGAAACTTCTGGTACAATTCCTATAGGTTTGGGGAAAATGAAGTTAATTCAATGGTTCTATTAAATTGAACAACATTCTAACATTCCAAAATTTTCCCCTTCTTTTTGAAAGTTTGATCATTTATTATCACTGGATATTGATTGCCCTATTTTACAGGTGAGGAAACCTTACCTGTATAAGGTATCTTCTTGTGATGAATTTTCCCCTCTCCCACAGCCATGTATTCCCATTTAGGAGATTTTTCATTTTCACTGTTACTCTGTGGACAAAAAAAACAAAGTTAGTTCATTCTTAATAGTTTTTATTACCTAACAATTATGTGAAAATTGAAACCAATTAGAAATACAAATTGTTATAAATAAAGTTTGTGAAGAAGTTGATTTTTCTGTCCAGTCAGAAAACAGGATTTTCACACACTGCTGAAGAAAGGTTATAGAAACAATAAGAGAGTATATGGATTGCATTTTCCTTGAAAAGATTTTTTGACCCAAATTTTTCAAATGATTCAAAAAATGGGGGAATCAATTATTCCCCTATCATTACATTAATACCATTTCAGCACATCAAGAATTGTAAACTGTACTTCTTCATTGAATGCATGCTATCATGCAAGTTAATCACTGCACATCCTATGGCAAGCATTTTTAGGGCAAAAATTATAGGGCAGTATTTTTTGATTTGTAAAATGTGAAGTGTGACAAGACATATTGTATATATTACTGGTCTACAAAAGAAGTTTATACATACATAGAATTACACCTTGGAAAATTGTGAAGAATTGTGAATACATAAATACAATGGTGTGCAATAGTCTCAAAAAATGCATGTACAATAAGGTGTTAATAATCTTAATAAAGACTTTACTTTTTCTGAAGAGTATCTTATAAAACAGAAATAATAATAAACCAAGAAAAGTAAATGAAAACTGCTAATAAGATGAAAAAAAAAAACAAAAGCTGCCAAATGAAAGGACATGCACAATCAATCTGAAATTTCATTTAAATGAAATGTGCAACATAAAACCAAAATGTTGGCAAAATTTGGGGTTTGAAGGGAAAATTACAGCAATTAATATATCACTGGCAAAATGCTACAAGCAGATAAGGATTTACAACTTGATGCCATCCAAAAAATCTTATTCTGAAAAGCTGATTGGTTTAATAAATCCACATGTAATGTAGGGGTCACATTTTGAGAAGCTGATTGGTCAAATAAACCATAGGCATTACTAAGGGGTCACATTCTGAGAAGCTGATTGGCTAAGTCACAGCAGTTCATTACACACCTTTTTCCTCCTTCTTGACTGTTTACCAGAGAAGCATGCAGCATAAAACATCACTGTTCTATCAGAAGCCAGCATTAAATTTGTAGATCATACTTACAATGCATGCTCACTTCACAACATACAATATATATTAGTGTCAGTGTTTATACATGCAATAGTAGATATTCACTGGGTAATTGCACATGATGCCTCATGATATCATTTTAGAGTCTGACAGAAAATTAAGTTTAACATGCTTCCTTAGAATACGTGACAACATTTGATTTTACCTATTTCTCCATTTATCTCTTCAATTCAGTATAGGTACATTAACTATAAACAGCTATAAAATCTTAATTTGCACATGGATTTTTAACTGCTTACCTTGACTGTTTAAGATATGTTGCATTTAAAATTTTCAGGCTCTTTATTTATAATAAATGTAACTTACTGCATTTACAGTTTTGAAGAAAGGGGTTTTTTAACAATTATTTTCCATCACCCTTCCTTTTATTGTGTACATCCACACATGTAACATATAAAGTGATTTATCACATTTCAGTGCACCACATTATTAGAAATTCATGAAATACATGTATCTTTTAAAAAGTGTGATTAGAAAGTTTCAAACACATGAAAAAAAAGGCACAGCTTGCATGTGCAGGTGGTTTACTGCAAGACAAGATTATTATGATTAAAACACATCTAAGCTTTCATACTTCGATGTCCAACTGAAACAAAATGCAATTTATAATCAATTAGCAATTACTTATCTTTGAATTACAAAAAATGTAACATTAATGGCAAAAAAAACTTCGAACTGGCTATAAAGCTAGATGAATTTAATGAAACAATCTTGGAAATCAAAAAATTTAGCTGATAAGTTGATTGAAGCTATTATAAAACATCCACAACAACAAATGGATCATGAAATAAAAGCAATCACCAAGGATCTATATACGAAAAAAAAAACCTATCAAATATTCAAAGTAACTCAGCAAAATTTAAAAACTTGCTTTTATTTGTCTCTATAAAATCATTTTCAATACTGAAAGCAACCTTTTTTATAGATAAAAACCAAACCACCTCTAAAAATTAATGCAGGGGAAAAAAACAGAATTCTTTGTGTCACCCATTCTACTTACTTTGAGGCATTTGACTGAGTTATGTCCCCTCCCTCTTGGGCAGCAGCTGAGATTAACACGACTTCAAATGACTTCTGTTTGTTCAGTTCCTCAGACACGGCATTCACTTCAGAAACCATAGGAAGGATTTCCAGAACCTGCTCTTGTACTATCTGTTGTTCTGTTTAAAGTAAGAGATTAAATCATCACAGCTTGATTTTTGACTTCTACCATACAGTAATGAAAATTACAGTTGAACTTCGGTATCTCTAACATCGATATCTTGAATACTATATTACTATGGATATGTCAAAGTGATTTGGAAGTCCCAACTACATCCTCTTTAAGTATTTTACCCTCGGATATCTATCTCGAAGTTTTTCTCAGTCCCATCGAGTTTGAAATAAGGAGGTTCAATTGTTATTTCGTTGTCGGACACATTTTTTTTTACATTTGAGAGAAAGGATTAATTAATAAGAAAATTTGTGATTCATATTTATCATAATCTACAATTTCTCTTTGTTCATTTATTTTCAATTTCTAATTAAAGATCTCAACATTGTTCATCATTCAAGACACCATTACCTTTACTTAGTCCTGCTGAACCAGTGGCAAATCCCTTCACCTGAGCAATTTCCTTCTGAGCAAACTCCCAAGTTATTTCTTTTGGAAGACTTGAATCTGCAGTTTCAGGTTTCAGGGGATTCATCAGAACATACATATGGTTGGATCCTGGGAAGAGGCACCAAATATCATTTAGCTACATTTCAAAATATTCCACCTCAAATAATATCAACTCACTATTACATAATAGATATTTAAGAAAATTGAACTGTTTAGTCCATTTGTAATACATATAAATATTTAGAATTCAAAATACTAAAATCTTCTTTTTGTGTCAAAAGCAAAATTATTTGTGGATAAGAGATGAAGAAAATAAAAATACCAAAGAGAATTCTGTCCTTATGACAAAGAGCCTTCCTTCCTGTGAGAGGTAAGCCATTAATTTTTGTCTTTGAGCCACTTCCTGACACTGATTCTATTTCTATCACACCTTTATTGTTAAATATCACTGCATGCTGTTTCTGTATACTGTTGAAGAAAATTTAAAAAACAATAATAATTTTGAGTAGTTTTAAGATAAACAGAAATTAAAAGAGATCTTACATTTTCTCATTACTGTAAAACCAAAGTTCAAAACAAAAGGCTTTTGTGCCATGATGCTGAATTGAGTCACCTGCAACTAAAATCCATGACTTCAATGATTTCAATTCACAGTATTGAGGCTTGATGTCAAGTTTACAAATTGTAGATATGTTGCTCTTGCATACTTTATATTTCTATGTAAACATTTGAACCCCTCTTGTGCCCCAGCCACCCTAGCCATGAGGGACTTGATTTGAACAATTATCTGAATCTACTCTAAATGGTACTACTTGTATATATTTTAAAAATCTTAATCTTGAGAATCTCTGAAATGGTAAAACAATTGTACCTACCTGAGACCACTGAGACAAATATCTGGTACAGGACTGGCATCCTTCCTTCCTACAGTTGTTTCACCGCTGTTCTTCAGGAAGTGACATATGACCCCAGACAACATGGGATCCTCATTTAAATTGATCAAATATGGCTCTTTGCTTTTCCTCTTGCTGTCTGCACCTCCTGTTTCAATTTTCTCGGTTTCTGTCCTGGCCTCGGCAAGCTGAATAACAAATTAAACTATGAGTTCAATACAGCTCAATTTCATAAATTAATCTAAAAAAAAAACCCAACAAAATAGACTTCTAGCCTAAGCAAATCATATCTAAGCCCCCGTGTTTGAACAGTTTACATACATTAAAGTATCAATGGAGATTGTCAGTTATCCTAACAATTAATACATGTATAGGAGTATCTAATTTCTCAATTGCATCACAACTGCATATTAATACAGAGCTGTTTTAACACTTCACCTCAGATAAATTTTGGTTATTTTTTTTTTTATCAATGTTGACTTGACTATCATTATTTGGTTGTCAGACCTTATCATCCCAGCTCTGGTCATTCTCTGCCAGCATTGCCTGATTGGCCATTAGCTGAGCTCTAATATCCTCTTCCATCTGTTTACGCATCTTTTCAAGCTCTGCAAAATTACACCAAGTTTGGTAAATTCTTTAAATATTGATCCATTAAATTACCCATAAAATTATTCTTGGAATGCAAATCTGTGAAAAAACACTGACAGAGTCCTAACAAGAAGGCTCCTTGGTTTAAATGACTAAATGAAAATTTAGGCCTGTAAATGAAGTGAGGACTCACCCTCAGGAGAGAGACCCGCCCCCTCCTGCATCACCATTCCCCCACTTTCCATGGCTCTCTTTAACTTCTCATTTTCTTCCTACACACAGTTCAAAAAAGCATTCAACATTAAAACCAGATAAATAATCTTTAATGGCAAATCTTTACCATATATATGATAGATAAAAAACATATGAATTTATTCATCCTATTTTCAGCATACCTTGAGTTCCCTTATAAGTTTATCTAATGGATTCTCATTGACTACTGCTTTGTTTTTGATTTTCTTTGCTCTGTCTGCATATCTCAGGGTGGACAAAGTCTCGTCATAGTTAATATCAGCCGGGGACAGGGCAGCAATCATTATTGTTTTACTGTAATGGAAGTAAATTTTAAACATATAAATTTTTCTCATACAAAAATGCAATATGTGGTCATATTTTACAGATCCATTACCAAAGTAAAGAAGGGGCCTTGATTTTACCTGTTGCCTCCCAATGCATTCTGTAAGAGTTTGGTCAGAACTGAGTCTCTGTATGGAACCATGATTTTCTTTTTTGTTCCCATTGACAAATCAGCAAGAGCCTACATAACAAGAAAATATTAAGTAACTATTATTTTTCTCAAATTTCCACACAAATAATCATGAACAAGACATAGACAATTAAAAACTTGATAAACCCTCCAATCATAACCATACTTGCTTGAATCAACTGTGTCCATAAAGAAAGCTCAGTTATTTTGTTTGTATTTTACAAATTTTCTACAATCTCGAGTATTTTTAAAATGAATATCTCAAAAATATATTCTTAAGAGTTAACTTTTAATTCTTTTGTAAGATTAGGATTGACATTGTGTAATTGACTTCAATGGTGACTTCTTACCGAGATGACATTCCCCAGAGCAGACAAGGATTTGTTGATGTTGGCTCCCTCCTTCAGACGGTCACCAGTGGCCCCCGTACTGTCCGCTCTTTCGGAGCCTGTGATACACAAACCCATCATTTCACAAAAGCATAAGCATGTGAAAAATCTTTGAAACAAACCCAATGTCAAATTACCATTCATATTCTCTCTCCATTTCAGTGTTTTCTAATAATGTCACCAAGTGTCATTAAACTAAGGTTATTTTATATGAGGGGCGTTCAAAAAATACGCGGACTTGTTGCAGAGAAAATATATTTGACGACAAAAACACACAAAAAGTCACACGTATTATAACAGAATCTTTACTTTAGTGGTCAACAAAATTTCATGTCAATATATTGAAAATAAATATCAATTTTAAGTGATTACTTCAGACCTATCAAGAAATCACGGCGCAGTTAAAGTGAAATCTGCGACGTCATGACATCATATAAAATATGCAATCTCGTTTTCTCAAATAGTATTCTCTTTTTTGTTTGATACACAATTTGTGTCACTCTATCTACTCATAATAGACATCAATATATCATTCCTAAACCAGGTTGGGAACTATAAAACTAGAGAATTATTTGAAATCTTGTTTGTTCTTAAAACCCCAAACTGCATCTACTTCTGAAATGTTCTGTGACGTTGGTCGCCATTAAAAACGGTAACAGTCCAGATCACGATTTTGTCGATGATCTTCTTCCGAACCCCCCCCCCCCCACCCACCCCGAACGTTTTTCATAAGGTCCTACCGTCTGAAATTTCCTTTTGCTGTTTGTAGACAGATGTCTGGCTTATCGCTGATTTATTGCATGTTTTATTAAGTATATTTTGGGTCTCTGTTTGCATTTTCCATATTCTACTCATGATTTGACAAACATGCACTGCTCCGTCGAATCACTCAACGTCATTTTTGCAGTTGTTTTTATAGGGAACACATCAGAGAAAATAACAATATTTCTGTTAATACTTGAAATATTACGTCAATAATTTTAATTCATAATTATGTAACAATATAAAGAATCTTTACAGAAAATTGTCGAATAATCTCGCGAATTTTGGAAAATCAATGAGAAAAAGTATAGGTTCTAAGAGTTCATTTTTCAGATATTTTGCCGTGCTCCGTACATCACTATCGGCAATATGAAAACAGCAATAATTTTAAGAGAAATTAATTATTATCAAAAAATTGTTCCAAAATTTTACTAAAATCATTAAGAAATATTTTTCTGTAAAATTTCATTGCAATTTGACGTCAGTAAAAGTAAATAATACCAGAGTCCGTGTAATTTTTGAACAGCCCTCAACGTACTGGTAACAGGCTACTTCAAACTTTGAATTAATTGTTAATAAAAAAAAAATTATTATTATAATTTTCTCTCTAAATGCAGAACAAGTCCATATCCACTACAGTTGAACTTTGATATCTTGAACACTGATGTTCCAAATACCATAGGTATGTTAAACTGAATTGGAAGTCCCAATGACTTTTTCTTTAAGAATTTTACCCTCAGTATCTCCAATCCTCGGAGATCTCATAGCTTTTTCTCGGTCCCATTGAGATCGAGATAATGATAACAAGGTTTGAATGAATTGGTAGCATTTAAGTCTCCCTTACCTGCTAAATCTACCAGATTCATGACACTACTCTTCTTGGTTTCTGACCCACTCTCATTCTTGATGATTTGGTCAAACGTAATGGTGACTACAGTGTGGGCCCTACTGCTGGTGGCATTCATGTTAGTGGACGCCACTGTTCTACTGGCCGTTCCTGAAATTTATGCAAATATGCCATATTAAAACTCATCAAATATTGTAGTTTGCAGTTCTTAAACTCTTAACTCAGAGTAATTTAATTCTGTCAAATGGTTCTCTTAATTAGTTTATTGGGAAACTGTGAAGTAATCATTACTTTATATTTTTTTCCCTAGTAAAATAATGCCCAAGATTAATTCTGCCAATAATCATAGGATATTTGAAGCTGGACAACACTGTTATGAATCAAAAATTTACCCTGTACTAAAATTAAAATTTTATAATTAGATGAAATTCTGTCTACTTGTGCTTATTCTTACCCTGGTCCGTTCTCTTCTCAATTTCAGCGTAACTACCCACAGGGACTCGTTTGAGATTTTCCACATAAAAGTAGCCCAGTTTGGGGTTCTGTCTCACATTAAGTCCACCTTTAGGATTGTCTTTAGATAATAAATCTCTCACTTGTTCATTGTAAATTTCTAACATAGAAAATGTCACTTCAAATCTCTGAAAAAAATACATATTTATCATATAAATAAAAGTATGAAATATTTTTAGGAAATTTTACATTGAATGAACTTTGAAAAGTTGTTCAAATTGACAAGATCAAATGACAAGAAAACTTGTTACATAGTTCATTAAAGCATTTTTAATATGGAAAATAATTGTCATACATTCTGTATATAGTCAGTGCAATATACAAATGCTGTAGTACTTTTTTCTGCATGGTAATTACGGTATGTACTCTGCAGTGACAAATTTTCTGCAGAAATGTCCCAAAGCAAATAAAGTATGTTTAACGCTTGTAGTGGCAATCTAAGAAATTTGCATCATATTTTCTATCCACAGATTTAACAGAAATTGTAAATTCGCAGAATTATGACCCCGTGGAAAAAAGTATGTATACAGTTTGTAATTGGAAGCCACTATGTGGCAGTATTGTACACACCTTATTTGGGTCTGTATTTTTGTCCATGGTTTTAAACATTTCATCACAGGTAATTGGTACGATTCCCCTATTGAAAAATTCAACAAACATCAGATTAACCATTTTCATAGAATAGCGGTGATAACACAATTATAACATACAGTTTTCACACCTTTATCTTAAAAATCAAGCAATGCTCTTCAACATCATTTATGAATACTTATGCATACATGGATATATATCAAACTTGTCTATATTAAATTCTGCACTAGAACCTAAAGAATCAAATATCTTAGATAGGTTGCTGGGTGCTTGTTACACGTAAAAGAGTTGCAATTTTTTTGCAGATTTCAACAAAGCCAATGATGCCTTTCATGGAAAGTTTGATTCAATGTACAAAAAAGTTTCTTCAGAAAAAAACAATAATCATAATCTATACTTGTAATCTGGATTATTAAAACATAACTTTAATTGGTAAAAAGCACATAAATATATTTGTGTAAATGTACTTTTTGATTTCAATTCCCCTTTTAAAGTTGTCTATAAATGTACTGACTTGTTATTTCCATATCCCACCATGGAGTAGGATTTTCCAGATCCTGTCTGGCCATAGGCAAACAGGGAACAGTTATAGCCTGTAAAGAAGAAATAATATATGTGAGTGTTTCAGTTAAAATAAAAAAAAAGAAACTCCACTAGTTGATTTAAAGCAATTTTCAATAGATGTAAGAAAACTTATATGCACTGCATGTAAGGTGGTCCTAGGTATGACTTTTTTTTTTCGGGGGGGGGGGGGGGGGGGGGGGGGGGGAGGGGGATGTTGAACACTTCAAGGCTTTTTTTTTTACTGTGAAAACATTTATGCCAAAATTTAAAAAAAACATTATACATGTACATGCAACTATAAAACACAAATATGTTTACACAAATGGAATATGTAACTAACAAATGCTTTTCCATATACAAACATTAAAATTCCAACTTCAAAAATTGATTTTATTTTTAACTTTATTTAAATTAGATATTGATTTCACTGTACTGGTAGTTTCATTCTAATACTTCACAAGACCATCTTGTAAGCTGTGTAGAAGAAGTTACTGCAGTTTTGAAATCACCTCGACATAAATACCTCATGAAATATTGATCTGCACAGAAGTGGATTCTATTCTAATGCTTAGAGGCAGAATATTTGAAAAGGGCTAAATCAATCAATAGTGCTCAACAGAGTACCTGGTGGTGAGAGTTCCAACTTCTCCCATCTTAAAGTAGCTGCAATGCCCACATGGCTTGTTAAATACATGCTCTCTGATATTATTATTCTATTTTCAGTTGTTTAATGTGAAATATATAAGGCTTATGTAAAAATGTGTTTTTTGTCTTAACTGTACTACATATAACTTTAAGATGCAAATAATGATGTTTTTTTTTCATAAATATAGCCCCCCCCTTTTTCCACCCCCATGAAAAAAATTATCCCCGTATATTAAAGTGTGTGATATTTAACTATTTGACTATAAATGTACTGTTGAACCTCTCTGTCTTGAACACTGAAGTCTTCAATACCATGGATATGTTGAAGTGAGTTGCTGTCCTAACTCCTTGCTCTTTATGTATTTTAATCTCAATTTCTGGCAATCGTCAGATATACTGAAGTTTTCCTGGGCCCAATCAACTTCCAAATAACAAAATTTTAGTGTATATTGTTGAATTGAAAAACATCACTATATTATGTCTTTATTAAATGTGTATGAACTTTAATGTGCTTCAAGTTTGAATGACCTTAAAATACCATAACCTGCAACATGGAGTTGACTTACAAAATTGAAATTTGAGAGACCTTAGACTAAACGAGGTTGTATGTCACTGTGTTTACCTTTGTTGACACCAAGTCAAAAGTACACAAAATATCTCAACCAAATTCAATCTGTTTACATTTACTTCAGATTACGTTTAAGAATGAATACATTAAACTTAAAAGGTTATTGGTTAGTGAACATCTTTCTCATTCTGCTCAAACAAATTGTCTATAATCTTTATTCCACATGCACTTGTCTGAACTGATTCTGCACAAACTAATCAATGTGAGTTATAAGGTCCTTCGGTAATGGAAAACAATAGACTATGCATTTTAAATCCTGATTGCATACAGATTACATAAAAGTCTTTAAAATGTTTAATGGCCCTTACATAATGTTTGCCAATAGTGCAAGCTAGATAACCAAGTAAAAAGCCACAAATACAATGGTAGAATTCATAAAATATTTAGGTGTACTTGAACATACCCCATCCTGCTTCCTGGAATTTTATTGGATAAGGTATTTAGATAGATACATGGACATGCCAAATGCTCCATCAATTCAAATTCTTCATTAACAGAGTTTACAATATCTCTCAGACTCCATACTTCAGGAAGTTGTTAAATATTTATGTTTAATGCAATGCAATGTTACAAAAGCCTGATTAATATGTCCAGACAGTCCCTGGTGGCATAGCAATCTGCTTTAAAATTAACATGTACACTAGTTAGGACAAAATTATTGAATTATATAGGTCTGGACCATAAACTTGCATAAGGGCAACACATTACACTGTTGGGGGAGGGAGGACCGACACATCCTTTTTGTGACAAAAATACATGCAAGATTTATTTCATAAATCAATTTTTTGTTGTTGGATATTGCATTTATTTACATTAAGTATAGCCAAGTCATAAAACTGTTCTGCAAAACTCCAAAAACCTGTGTCCCTGCCTCAGACCCCCAAGCATTTGCCCCCCCCCCCTTTTTCAGTAATCCTGGATCTGCCACTGCATCCTTTATCATGGTCTCTTGATGCCGGCCTGTACATTTACAGTAAATCAAATCAATTTTTTTTCATGTGTGGCTAGAATCATGTGAAATAACTTATAAGTTTGCTTTCTACAACAAATACACAATTTCTATATTTTCAAAGAAAGACAAAATGGGAAAGAAAATTAATGTCAACCTGTACAGTATATATTAGACTGAAAGTTATAGTTGCATTAAGGAAACTCCTAAAAATGTTTACAGCATTGGCATCAAAAATGTACAATCTTTATAACTTTTATGGTATCTCTATTCTATAGCATTTAATTTTTATGATGAAATGTGTAAACAGGACACGGTGTCAGGTTACAAAATATATGGACACAAATTTCATTACATATTTTTTTAATTTTCTGCCAGGGAACATTCACTAATATCTAACACTGACAAACTTAAATCAGAAAAATAATTTTCCCACTAATTTTATACTTGATCTCTACATTATTTATATTTAATTTTCCTTTGTTTATTGCCCCCATAAATAAGATAGAGATACATACTGGAGGGACTTTATAAAGCCATTTCCTATATGTTTAAGTTTAAAGTTCAGAAAACTTATCAATGGTAAAGTATTGTATATATGTATTAATTCTAGCTGGTGTCACCTTCATAAGAATCACAAAGCCCATTCAAACACTGAAATACTCAAGGTATAGTTACCTGTTAAATAAAATATTTAATCTATAAAGGGTGACAGAAAGAACAAAGAACTAACAGTACAAAACTTGTCAGCTGTTTTATATATGTATAAATGTGTTGTGCCTTATCAGTAATACCAGCTCTAGGTCTGAGTTTGGTAGTATTTTCTGCTTGGTGAATAATACATTTTTTTCCCCTGATCTGATTTCCTCTTCTGACTTGACCAGCTGTATACACTCAAATCCTCCCCCCACCCCAACCCACCCACCCCCTTTCCCCATTTACAAATAATCTCTGGCAAGATTATTTATTTCTTTAGCATCTAAATGCTAGTGTCAATTTTTTTTCTCTAAAAGTCAATATAAATTTCAAAAAACTTGAAATCAATGGTAATGATGATCAATTTACTCTGTTCACTGAATGGCTAGCAAGCTAATCCAAAATATTCATATATTTTCCACAGTTTTCTATTGATTGTAATCTTACACATAAACATAAGCTAAGCATGGCTAGTGAATATTTAAAACCTGCTGGATTTTTAAAAAACTGTACTGTCATATACCCTAGAGCATATCTCTTTTTTAATATCTAACAAAAAAAAGGTAATATAAGATAAACATTATAGAACAGGTTTTGTTTCAGACTTCCATATTGATTTTCATTCAATAATAAAAGATGAATTTTGAAACTTTGATGATGAGGAGTTCATTGTCTCTAAATAAATGGAATAAAATTGATTTCTCTTGAAACCCGAAAGTGAAGGTTTCACTTGAATGGCTCAATAAGACTGTCATTGATTTCACAAAAACAAAAACAATGTTTAATATAGGCCGTGCTTTGGTCTGAATAAAAAATAGAAATGATAATTGTCTCGTTTTTTTATTTTCAGTTAGAGAAGTCATGATCCTTGTAAGTTTGAATTCATTATAAGTACTGTAAACATACTTTATTCTACAGGGTCATAATTCTGCAGAATCACAATTTCTGTTCAATCCGTGGGTAGAAAATTATGCAGATTTCTTAAGATTGCCTGTTGCATGTTTTAAAAGTAACTACTTTAAAGGCAGAGATTTTAAGCACTGCCTTCAAATTAACTGACAGAAATTGTGTTACTGTGTACATATGCATAGTGTAAATTAAGAGGGCTGGGTGGTTGTGGCCATTTTCAGACTATATTGATCTCCTTTAGAAGAAGAGCTCCATATAAAGATATACAAAAATGATCAAATTTTAAAACTAAAATGTATGAATTTTTGTTTGCCAAATGATAGTTGACAGCTTAAGATATCATATCTAAAAAAATAAGTTACATCTGATGGTTTAAATTTGTTGACCCCCCAGCCTCCTTAATCCCACATGGAAAAAAGTATACATCTACAGTATATGAGTGTAATTTGGGGTCTTGTCATGTCTGACGCCGACTTCTGACAACATAACTTCCAATACCTAAAATAATACACCCTGATCCAGATTTATCATTTTATGCAACAATATTTTATGCTAAAAGAACTAGAATAAGCCATGCAACTCTTACATATCTGGAAAGTCATGGGAAAAATATCTTAAATGATGACTGGCATAGTTCAATTGAATGTTCTTTGTCTGTGTGCTTGTTTGTGTGTATATCTTAGAAGGGGTGGGGATTCAGCCATTTTCTGAGGTGCAAAAATTTATACATGCTATGCTCTTCATTTTTTATTTCACAACAAACTTATCTATTACCTGAAATTGTTCAGTAAATGGTAATGTCTAAAATTTTGCTCCCTAAAATCTAATGCCTACTTATGAAGGTCCATAAAAGCTTACAATGAACAAACACTGAGTTGACTTTGACAGGTAAAATGGTTTAGGTATTGTGCATGAACCAAGTTAACAGTTTTTTAATGTCAATATCCAATTAATAATTCTATGTATTTGCACAGTTATTGATTGTAAGACATGATGAAAAGAAGTTCATTAAGTTTAACCGAATAAACAAGAGGCCTATGGGCCACAATGCTCACAGTCACCTTTCTCTTCCTGACACCAATGATACCCTAGCTTTATAGTAGCCATCAATGAAAAGTCCATGATTTCAACAACATCAGAATACAGTACTTATAAAGTCCATGATTTCATCAAATGACAATATCAGTGAATAGTATACTTTTAAAAAGTACATGATTTCAACAACTTCAGTGCACAGTACTTGAAATTCACAATTTCAACAATTTAAGCGTACAGTGCTTAAAGTCCATGACTTCAACAAGTTCAGTGAACAAAACTTAAAGCTAGTCCGTGATTTTAAAAATTTTCTTTATCATCATATGGGGGAAAAGACTATTCAGTTAACTAAATGAAAATCCCCTTCATCTGGAAATGATTTGTGCCAAGTTTGGTTAAAATAAGCCCATGCAGAGGTTCTGAAGAAAAGTCAAATTGTGAAAATTTATCAAGAAATAGACAGACGCTCTTTGATCAGAAAATTTCTTTTGAGTCTTTAGCTCAGCTGAGCTATAAATGGATATAAATGGATAAAAAGCTTTATGGACAACACTGATGCAAAAAAATGTCATCTTAATTGGTAGGGGTGGGACGATATACCGATACAACGATACATACCGATATTTTCTTTTAAGATACGGTTTACGATACAGGTATTAAAATATCGGTACGAAACGATACACAAACGACTTATCAAAAAATTGAAAATGAAAGTAGTTGTCCTTGGAAAATGGCGGCTTCTATGAAGCGAAGACATGATATTGATATTGAAAACACGCTTTAGAACTAATAATGTGTAGATAAGGGGTAAATCATTTTCACTTTTAAGCATCCTCGGAAGATGGGACAAGAAAAGTTCAGTTTGGAAAGCGTGTTATATATACAGAACGTATCGTTTCCACAACAGTTGATATTAGTCCATCTGGTACTAACAGCTCATAACAATGTATGGATTCTCTAATTTCAAGAATTTAAAATTTCGAAACAAATTGTGGATTTTTTTTAAACTCAACTTGGTTACAGACTTTCAGCAATTAATATTAATGTACATGTGATGTTTTTTAAATGAATTTTTAGACAGTGTTCTTGATAAACTAGTCTACACGACTATTTGTACACAACTTGTTTATAGACATTTGGCAATATGTACATGTAACAATGTTTTTGTAAATTTTAAGTCAATGAAATTGATGAACTTCAAGTATTATTATTTCAAAGCACATATGGTTTGATATAGAACAATTTGTAGATTTAAACTGAACTTGGTTACAGACTTTCAGCAATTAATATTAATGTACATGTGATGTTTTTTAAATGAATTTTTAGACAGTGTTCTTGATAAACTAGTCTACACGACTATTTGTACACAACTTGTTTATAGACATTTGGCAATATGTACATGTAACAATGTTTTTGTAAATTTTAAGTCAATGAAATTGATGAACTTCAAGTATTATTATTTCAAAGCACATATGGTTTGATATAGAATGATTTGTAGATTTAATCTCAAGACAAAAATGAAATAAAATACAAAATTTTTTTATAGTTTTATAATTTATCATAATATCGAGATATGTATCATATCGTGTTATGTGTAACGAGATACGTATCGTATCGTAAGATCTGTGTATCGTCCCACCCCTATTAATTGGTGCAAAATGTTATCTCCTGAATGCAATTTTCTCCATGGAAACTGATGATTTAATTAATTGGTAATCTGCAATAAAGAGCACTTTAATTATTCTAAAATGTCTTAATTTCCTCAGGAATAGTCATAATGTGTGCATTAATGGGGTTATCATTAATGGAATTGCATTTAATAACACCATTTAATTCCGCTTACGAATCTGGATATTGGGATGAAGGGAAATTTCTATACACCTATTTCTTCCTGGCATTTAGAAAATGAACAAATTTAAAGTTGTTCCTTCATCAAACTTCTAGGTATTTTTTTAAATAGTTTTATTAGCTGTGTGGGGATTGGTGAATCCTCTTTTGACCAATTTACTTATGGATAATTATAAAGCTAATTTTCTCCAAAAATAGTAATGAGTTGCTCATGTTTTCAATGTGTTGTTGATGTAGTTTGAAACCCAGTGCACACAGGTAACTGTATATGTCTGAAGCAAAAGGAGCCAAATATGTTATTAACCTTCAAAAGCATTGTCCAGAACGCCTTGTCCCAGATTTTCGAACACTCTTCTCTGACTGGCATAATTACTCCCGCCCGCAGGAACTAATACGCCATCGCTCTGCTCTTGGAAGCCATCATGTGACCTACAACAAAGAAACAAGGACATATAGCTACACAGTCTATAGCTGAAAATGCAGAATATTGCAATTTTCTGTTTCATAGGAAAATATGATCAATTTAATATTTCAGCTTTACATACATGAATGCAATAACATCTATTCCATATATGTTAAAAAGAACCTTGGAGGTATAAATTTGGGAATTTTATACATGAATGTTTCATATGTATTTGTAGAAGAAAACTCCTTCTAAATTTTCAGTTGTATTACTAAATCTTGAGCTTTAGTTTTTTCATTATACAGGAAAATGTGGGTTTTTTTTTCCAGAATTCAATTTGAATGAAACTGACAAGTACTCAAACCACACTTGATCATTTTTTCAATAGCTTGTGGTCTAAATTTTTGTTGTGGTCGAGCAAAACTATGGGATTTAATCTTTTTTTCCATTAACATAATCAGTGAACTGTTCAATTGTATTTTTCATTATTGTGCTACCTATCAAATTTAAATGGAACAATGTCACCATAATTTCTTTCAAAAATATTGGTGTACTTGAACCTAAACCAGTCTTTGCAATTAACTCCCCATTCAAATGTACTGATGTAGATCTGTCTGTGTACTTATACTTATAAATCTCCAGATTAAAATTGTGCAGTATTGAATTGTAAATACCTAATTTACTGTTCGTTAGCTTTTGGCATGCATTGTATATGGCCGATGAACAGAGTGGTTGTAATATTGAATACATTTATAAAACCCCATGTGTGGAGAATTGTTCAGCTATGTTAATCATGAACAATTAAATTTTAAGATACAGATGCATACAAATATTTTGTATATAGTACTAGCTATGACACTTATAAAATCCAGTACATGTGTAATAAATTAACCTATGACTAAAAGTGTAAAAAGATTATACGAATACAGAATCAATATCTTACCAATATGAGTAATCGAAGGAAAAGCTTTTAGGTTCTTCATCTGTAAAATTAAAAAATTAAAATCATCTGTAAATTAAAAAATTAGAATCAAACAAATTCCAATAATTGTCAAGTATTTGTTATGAGGTATTTAAACTATTCATATGAATAAAAAAAAAAAAGATTCACAATTTATACCCGGTATTTTCAAAGCATATTATTCTTTCACAGATAAAGATGAAAAATCTTTTAAATTTATTAACAATTTAAATGGGTTAGAAAATCACTTGATGACCTTGCCAATTTTGCGATTCACTCAGAACTCTTTATACTCCATAATCCTCAACTTAACGTTAAACCATATCAGTGATATGTGAAGTTTTATGACATTGCGTTATCAGAACACCCACACTCAGGTCAGGTGAAAGTGTCTCCAATATGTGTTGAAATGTTTACTGTTATCTGTATGCAATGTCTATAAAGTCATATTAATTTTTTTTTAAAGACATATTAAAATTTTTGCTTTAATTATATGCCTGCATTTAAAAATTGATTAATTCATGTTTGAACTAAGTTTGTATTTCCATATTAAACACTCATAATTAAAAAGTCAAGAAAAATATGAATGGAGATAAATTTATACCCCAGTATACATTTAAAACCTGGTTATCTCAAATTCCATAGGACCAGTAAAAAACTTTGAGATATCAGATGATTCAAGAGTACATAAAGACTATTGGACTTCCAACTCACTTTGACAGATTCCATGATATTCAAGATATCAGTGACTGAGATAATGAAGTTTAACTGTATATGCATGGGATCTAGAAAATTATTCTCTATACTAGCATCAGCATTTGCAATTTTTCAATTGATTTTCATAATTCAAAATTCAAATAAAAATCTAAAATTCTTTGAAAAAAAAAATTATTTAGATATTTATAATGAAATATCTATCAAAATTTCCTTATGTAAATTGCAAAAAGTTTAATCAAAATTTAAGAATGTTTGGTTCTTGACCACAAAATATTGATTTATCTGGATAATAGGGAAAATACCAGAAATCCATGATGCCATGCAATACACTGAATATAATTCTATTGATATCCTTTTTCAACTTCTACATTGAATAAATTATAAAACCTATGCTAATTGATAAAAGATTTAAATGTGAAAATATTCATTTAACCCCCCCCCCCCTCTTTTTCCAAATATCTCCATCCATAATCCATGATATATGTTTATTTTATAGCAGACATTTCGTGTACAATTCAATCAATGTACAATTCAATCAATTAAGATGTGGGCATTTTCATTATATAATCAGTCAGACCATAAAATACCCATTCAGTCAAGAACACGCAAAACTTTAAAAAATCGAACCATTGATTAAGTAAGACTATAAGGGCTGATCTTTGTACATAGAATGTGCATTATGAAATTATAATGTTGAGTGTACTGATCAATATTGAAGTCTGAGCTGTTCAATACGGTATCTATGAAAAACAAATACTTCCTAGACAATGTTAATGTATTTTTAATTCAATTCTTGAGTTTTATGGCTGCTATGTATCATGTTGATACAACAGTTACAAATCAGTATGGACCCTGATATTGAGTGTACATATATTTATCTATAACCATTAAAAACATGTTCGAACATTATTAAAATCGATTTCATATCTGCCCCAAAATTGAGATAATAAAGCTTACTTAGGGTTGGAGTGGTTTAAAAATTTCTTCTTGACTTTCAAATTACATATTTGTGCAAACATATGACCATAAAGTTTACGCCAAGGATCTGAGTAGGAGAAAGTTAACTTAGCACACTTCTAAAGCCGCACAAGCTTTGTTTATCTAAAATATTGGTTTTCCTCTTTAGGATCTTTTGTAAATGATCAGCCTATAATTCATCAATGGCTAGATTATCCGATACCCTGTGTTTATAGGGATGCTTTGAGGCATTAAGATGTTGAAATCCCTTGACTTTCTCACCCTTAAACCATTTTACAATGTGTCAGAAAATCAATCATAAATTAATCTAGAACAGGCTATTTTCATCCCCCCCCCCCCTTTAAATGGACACAATTTCCATGATCAAAGACATAACTTGCCAAAACAAGTCGCTGGAAAATAATACCACCCTTGCAGCAAGATGATGTAATTAGTGAACACAGGATAATGAATCAAGCTAACGAATTTTGAAAATACATGCTGGAGGCAGAACACGATCCATTGCTAATCATGGAAAAGACGATATTCATTATTGAGCCATAGAGGTTGTCCACCCCCTTTTGATATTTTCATCTATAATAAGACACATGATAAAGACTTTAATTTAAAAAAAATCATGTAGGGATGACGGGGATTTCTAATCATGTCTGTATATGAAAGTCAAATCTGTATACCTTAGATACACTGATAAATTATATCCCCATGGGATTTCTTTCTACGTACCTTCATATATTATTAAAAATGTATCCAGCCTTGAAATATGTTCTAGATATTTCTTACAATTATAAGGAGAGGTGTGCTTAATTTTAAAAAAAAAATTGTTTGTTCCGAGTTAATAAAATCATGAAGCTGAAATTTGTGTCTCCACGAAAGTTCTTCAATTCTCATAAGAAAATTCAGAGGAAAGTTACACATGAAAATTAACACCTATATATTATAGGGCTACAGTAATTTGAAGATCAATGATTCTTAACAGTTCAATATTACCAGACTAGTGTATAATCTTAAGTTTTAATCTAAAATGAAGAATCTATGATGGTGATCTGTTTACATTATAAGTGCATCTGTTTTTGTTTTTTTGTTTTATTCTTATGCAGGGTTATTTTTGCCCCCCCCCCCCCCCCATTAATTTAATTCACCTTTATATCACTTGCAAATGATTCCCTCCCATTTTATTTTTTAATTTAGTAATGCCCATACAATTTGTTTGTTTTAAGAAGGAAATTACTGTTTCTGGGAATTTGCCCTGTTAATGAATTTGCCCAAGAATGAGGGCAAAAGGGGTATAAGTAAAACAGGGCAAAAATTTCGCTAAATGTATATAGTACTGATTAATAAGCAGGTCTAAAAATGTTTAAATGAGCTTCATTTGTAACTCTAAATAGAATCACACATTGTTAACTGCAAAATGATGTGGTCAGAAAATTAATGTAAAATGTTTCATTTTTTGCATCGACCCTGCATTTTAAGCAGCATATAAAATAAGCTTATATTCTATGCTTGAGCTCAGAATGTTTTAATGTCATAGCATAAGATTTAATGTGAATGCTCCCAAAAGAACTGAAGATTTGTTAGAGTATATATTCAAATTATAATTTTAAATATAAAATCAGGTGCAGATCCAGGAATTTTTGTCAGGGGGGGGTCCACCCCAGTCAAAAAATAATTCCCCCCCCCCCCCCCCCCCCATAAAAATCCTTTCCCAAACGTATTAAACCCAGAAGATTTCTTGACGCACATGAAAATAATATTCCTTCAGATATGATGTAGAATACAAACATTTGCTATAAAGTACCTGGTACTGATCAATGGCAACTTTTGCAAGTTCTAGTCTCAGGAATTGTTGCTAATGATTTGTAATGTAGCTCATATATAAACAAATTTAAATAAAATATATTTTAATTGTATTTCTCCTAACCTCAAAAAAGTTATTGATTATAGATCTGCACGTACTAAGGCATCATTTTAATTATAGTCCCAAGACACTTTGGGTACAATGCATCTATTTCATTTCTTCATGCAGTATACAAAATAACTATATGACATAATTATACTGCATAAAATATGAAACTTTAAGTATGGTATACTTTTCTGATATCTGTAATTTTTTACAATTTGTAACCTGAGAGAAAGCTAGCATTTATATTCCTCAGTTTTCCTCATCTGCAATTTCTATTAATCATCTATATATATACCTATCCCAAAGCCTGCAGGAACTATAAAATATTTTAAATTGTTAATTTTGAAGAAACTACAAAAATAGGATGAACCACAAAAATAGGACGAACATGGAAAGTCCTTAATTAACATGTAGTGACAGTAATTATAATTGGTTCATACAAACTGGATTTAAATTGAATTAAGACAGAATATAACCCAAGGTCATCAAAGGGAAAGGTTCATTGGATACAATCACAACACCGCCCTCCCCCACCCCTTTCAAAAAACTTCACAAAAATAATGTTTTTGAAACGAAGTAAATTCATTATTTATCTGTTTAATATTGTTTACTAAGACTTCCAGAATATACTAAAAAATGTTTTGGCTTCGCTTAAGGGAAAGAGAGAGAGAGAGAGAGTGAGTACCCCTCCCTGAGATTGTTTCCCATATACCCTCCTTTCGATGTCCCTATAAAACACGAAGACACCTCGTCAAACTTACTTGGTGTTTCCGGATTTGTAATAGTAGTCATCTGACCCTGCATCTTAATAATGAGTTTTGCCTGTCTGTCCTTTTCCCTATAAAAAGAATGTTAAATATTTCACCTATAAAGGGGAGATTACTTCTTCTAAATTTAGCAATAAACTAAAGAAATTTAAAAAAATATATATGTTTGAAGTAGAATACTACATTTCTTGAATTAAGTGTTACATGTAATTTAAAAAATGATATAATTCCACAATATATCATTACATTGTACTGAAAAATGAATGTCATATAAATCATATAATTTCCTTTTAATTTGCTCCTAATTTATTATTTTCTCCATATATCAATCAATATACATACTTCAACTCCATAAATTTGTCCTTTTCCAAAGTTATAAAAATATTATAAACTAATCAATGATTTTCTGTGCATAATTTTCAAAAACACATTTATTACCTTTGATTAAAGGGACGGACCCTGACAGCTACTTTTACCCTGTAAAAAAAGAACGATTTGACTTTATTTCTTTTTGTTTCATCATTTCAATTGTTTCTGACATGTTTATATATGTATTCATGTAGATGAGATACACAAATTGATGCTTATTTGATATTTCTATGTTTTCTTTTAATTACTAAATTAAACAAGGAAGAATATATAAACATTTCTGCTATTTTTTTTTAATTCTTGTAAATTGCTGTTAATTAAATCCTTTAAACTCAAAAAAATTCAAAGAGAGAAAAAATTAACAATAAAATTGAAATGTCTGACCACAGTTAATTGTCTATAATTGCATAGTAAGTTGAATTGTCCCATTTCTATTTTTTTTTTTTTTTTTTTTTTTTTTTTTTTTTTGACTGCTCTGAAAGAATTTTTTAAGAAATTGTACATTATAGCCCGTTAGGTACATAATAAGTTCTAATAAATTATCTGCAGTCTTAAAGGTATTTCTCACAAACATCCCCCCTCCCCCTTTTCATAGAAAAGGTTCACTTTGATCTGCTAATTATACACCGGTGTGTTGAACATCTGCAACCAGAAAGAGAATGGTGTATATCTATCAAATACAATGTATTTGTTATTGATTAAATAATTAAATTGTCGTCTGATACATACGATTCGTCCGGCATGATGTCTGCTGATCCACAGAATAACTTTCAATTAATTAATCCATCGGAATCCTTTACAGAAAACATCCAACTAAACACGAAAACATTGCAATCGCTCCACTTCGCTCGGACACTTGTCTTGAACTGTCAGAATGCACCCTGCGATTCATCCAGGTATAACGTGACGTCACACAGGTAAACACAGATATAGTTCGTTTCAGAAAACATCCAACAGTAAACGGGTATAAAGACCTATATAAATTCGTAACATCAACTCGTGTAAATTAAAATAATTGATGGAGAAATATATAAATATGGTCTAAATTCTACGTGCATAAGTTTATAAATTGAATAGAACAATATTTCCAAATATTTAAAACTTTGTAAATGAAATTCAAAAGTCTCTGCCTCTCTATATATTTTTAAAAATATGTGGAAAAAATTTTGAATACAAAATAATTCATATGATTGCAAAATTGAAAAAGTCTACATCAAAGGGCTTGCTCACTATGATTATACTCAAAAACAGTTTTATTTTTTAAAATCCATACCACCAAAAAGGAACATCTCATCCTTAAGTATGTACATGTATTTGCTGGGATACTGGTATTTTCAGTTTCGGCTATTTAATTCTATGCATTCATAATTTGAAACAAATTACAAAAAAGAAAATTAAATGAGTTAGACAATGATCATATTTTTGAGATATAAGGCGTCGTAATTATGCCGGTAAACCAGACTTCATAGACTTGAATGAAATATTTAAGTCACTGAAACTTTTCTTCATTTAAGATGTCTATCAAAACTAAGAAAATCAAAATGTGAAAAGAAAATAGGAAGTTAGTGGGACAAAAATTATGCTTAAATTGATGAATAAACAATTTGAGAGTAGTTCGGTAAAAATGGCCCAGCAGAATACAACATCTTTATGTGGTCATTTGGTTTACATGTAGAAAAGATTTCTATATAGACTGGGAAAAAAGTCTTAATTGTCATATATTGCAATGTATGGGAATTGTTATTTTCTATTTCTTTATAGCTCAAAATATCATAACATTAAGCTTAATTTTCCATCAATATTTCAAAATGAAAAGGTACATAAGACTTTTTAAATATACCTGCAATTTACAACATATGGAAACTGATTATAGTCGTTGCTCAGAATTAAGAGATGTAAACAAAAACAAACAATGGATAATATGTCGGATAAGTGATTTAAACAATTCATGCAATATTGTATTTCAAAATATTTTCCCCTAAGTATGAAAAGAAAACAATCAGTCCATCATCTAAATGAGGATTAAAAAGGAAATATCGGTGCATCGGAAAATATTCGAGGGAGGGGTGGGGGGGGGGGGGTTGATCTAAAAGAATAAGAAGTACAACACGTTCAAGTTGTGAGAGTTATACAAAAAGACGAAATTAAGGAACAGATTCTCTTACATTACGGGCCTATTGCTCTGACACCTGCCAAAAGAAGAACGAAAAAAAAAAATCAAAAGCCACACTAGACGCGCTAAAAGTACAACCCCGGAAATGCCCGATATGGTTAATTGGTTAAATTATTCAACACATGGGAAATGTATATATGTTTTTATAATTTAAAAAAAAAAACTGTGTTTATGTTCTATCAAATTGTCCGTGGATTGCTTTTACATATTACAATAACATTGAAACAAAAGAGTACACATTTGAAATATTAATCTTTAATTTATTTACACAGAATTGTGATCAATTTGTACTTATCCAATTAAATTTTAACAGACACTGAATATTTTGCATGAAAGTTAACAACAAGCATGCATGATCGTTGTGCTTGCGTTGTTCCTTTGAATACAACTGAATTACAGATTTTCAAGTTGAAATTGTTAGACAGAAAGGTAATCAAAATTGCAAAAAAACATACTCTATGAATTAAAAGTTGCATTTTCTTGGATGTGATGAGAGGCTATTTTCTAAACCAAACAAAAACTTCATGTTTCTTTGGTAACGGTACCTTCAGCAATGGACTGTGCTATTGAACTGCTAGCCGCCCTTTGTCTATCATATGTACATGTATAAAAGACAAACTTAATTACTTGCTTGTGAAATCTAGTGAAATACAGAAAACTGTATATTTATTAGAAATATCATAAAACTGCCCCCCGATGTAGTGAAAAACATACATCTTTGATATTGTACTATTTCTCTATATCCATACTCACGCATGCTATAAAAACTGTTTTGATTTGTCACCATTGTTTATGTTTATCTCTGTATACAATTATAAAATTGTGATGAGATTAATAAATTCAGTTCACTAAGTACCAACCGTTTCTAATTGACTTCTATATAATGTTGTCGAACAAGACTAGGAAATGTACTTACCTTTGAAAAGCTCACTGTCCTAAAAGCACTTACGAATCTGGTCTTCGTACTTCCGCATTTTTAAAAAAAGCTTCTTAATCCTACCAATATTAAGACTATAATTAAAATGTTTAAAGAATTGACACAGAATTTGACAGAAATTACCATTTTTCTTAAAAATTATAAAGGAATGATAGACTTTTTATCCATGTGAATTATTCCTCTTATCAGAGAGTCAATGAACCTTAAAGCTCCGACGATATGACAGAAAACTCTGAAGTTTCAAGTATGAATGAGTGACACTATAATGTTAATTACTTTTTTATTATTTATACATAATTTTATTCACATGAAGTGAATGGGATAAGGCAGCAGGCATAGCCTATTTTAGCCCTCTCCCTACTATATTTTTATTACTATATACATGTACATGTATAGTTCAAAACATCAAAGTATAGAAGGTCTCTAGCTGCTAGTATTAAATAAATCTAAATATATTCTCGTAAGAGACGAATTTCACATTCTTAAGGGTTATCTCCCTTTGTCGGCGTAACCCTCATTTTTCTCACTAGGCCCTATATCCCTTGTAACTTACCAGAAAATATTTTCAACCTTCAAACGCCATCGGACAATTTCGATCCTTTCCTGTATATGTTCCCATACTGTGGGACCCATAGTATGGGGCAACATAAAAAACATAATGAGCATATTCATGCAGATTAAAAATTGTAAGACATAGTCCCATAAAGTTGGTAATGAACAGTGCCTTACGCCGGTTGACCTCAGATGGACCCCGCAAAGGGAAATAATTTTTGTAAATGTGAAAGTCGTGCTTTCAAAGAAAAAACCAAAACAAACAAAAAACATCCAATACATGTTAAGTAGCAATTTGTGTCAAATATTCATTAAAGCAACATTTTAATGAGTGAACTAGAGTAAGGCAAATTGAAGAACACCTATTTCTTTCAAAACATAAGTTTTTAGTGGAAATACATCAGGCAAGGTCTTTTTTCTGGAGTTAAAAGGGGAATAAAGTTCTCAATTTTCTTTTTCAACTTTTTAAAAAGATAGAAAATGAGTCACATCCCACCATATTTCCCTTCTTCTTGGATGACCTTAGACCTCGTTGAAAATTATCTAAAGCTACATCCCAGTCTAAGTGCAAAACAATAGTCACAAGCCATTCCGGATAATATTTGTTTATCCGATGAAGTTCTAGATTTAGCGTGCTTCGCATCATTCCGACTTTCGGCACCGTTGTGAATTTTAACCAACTTTACCAAGTTGGGAAAAAATGTTAATTTTTATAAGCATATGTCTTTTAGCAATGCATTTATAAAAGTGTTGATATTTGCAGTTTCAACAAAGGAAGATTTTTTTATGTTTGTTATGTAACCGCATGTAAACAGAGAGAGAGAAAGAGAGAAAAAAATGTCTCGTGTCCACATCAACAAGCGCTTCAGTTGGTCCATTCTTCGAAAACTGAAGTGTAACAGTGGTTTGAAAAAGTGCAGATTTATCTACAGCAAAACTGGAAAATGGGTAATGGGTTTGTTAGATTAGCTGATGTAATATATATGACCTTGAATTCTTCCTCCGACTATTATCCCCCTCCTGCATTTATAATTTGACCGTGCAGGGAAGAATCAGAATGTATGCCTTACCAGGCTAGACGAACTCTAAAAACGGCGTGAACTCCGAAAACGAAGTCTTCGGCTCCATCATGCATTGCGGCAAAATGGCGTCCGATGTAAACAAACGGCGGATTGTCGTTCGCTTTCTCCAAATATACGGGTGCATGATGGCTGTATTTAGTGCATTGTGACTTTATTTTAATTTTTGTTGAATGGATAATTATATTTATTAAATTATTTTGTGGATATTGACTTGTTTATTGCTTCAAACTCTTGCATAGTAGTAAATTGGATATACGACATTGAATTCAATACTGCCGGTAAGAATTATTTTCTTATTTGATTTATTGTCTCTTTGATTTAAATTTTATGTCGTTCTTAAAATATAGGTGCTTTTATTTGTTTTTGAAGACACTCAACTTGTATTTCTTTTAATTAGAAAATGCGTATTTTTCACCACGGAGCAGAGATATTCACAGGTTCATTTTTTAGAAGACATGTTGTGACCTTAATTTCTAGAAGTGTGGTTTTTAAAGATTTCATATTGATAGCCAATAGTTTTAAAAATGTTTTCATAATAATATCTGTTCGTATGTGACAAAAAATCGGTAAATAACGATGGTAAGAACTTACGCTTTCAATTCAGATGTCGTACACAAATAAAAATACCGGAATGCTAATTTATGTGTAAAATTCAGTCAAGTTTTTAACAGTTACAATATATATTATCCCATTTTGCATATATATCCCTTTTATTATGCATATTTACTTCTCAAACGTATCATTTTCTCTGTAATTGACCTGACTTCAAACGTCAACTTTGAAAGTAAATATCTCCTTTTTTGCAAATAAAATGAAAAATCTGACAAATACGATCTCTTCCAAAGTCTTTTATTTAGCATTTCTGAGTACTGGCATAATTGCCATACTTTCCAAAACTTTGCACAGACAGTTTTTGTAGACCCATCGTTTTTGCCGAAAAATCGCCATTTTTTGTGCGTGTGCGCATGCGCGGACTCTTTTTTCGGAGTCTTTTTCAGTCTCAATTTCTTACTTCCGGAAACGCTGTTTTTGGACTTCGTCTAGACTGCTTACTGTAAGACTTACTGTATTACCCAGGATTCCCCACAACCAGATAATGTTACAACTGTTCTTATTCAAGAAACCGAC